GCATCTACGGTTCATACTGTTTCCTACAAATTATCGCGTTAATTTCCAATTACCATATTTATTTAAAATTATATGATGCAACAGAAGTTATCTAGGGTTTAATTATTTTCATTTCTACAGATATGTAGAAAATGATAGATGACAATTAATTATCCCCTTTCTATTTTAGAATATATCTATATGATGAGTATTGTATGTGTTTCGAATATTAGATTTATAGAATTAATAATGGTTGGTATAAATAAAAATTATGTAAAAAGTTGAGAGTAATAGGATTTGATAGTATTTAGAAGAGTAAATGCTTCGTTGCATGTAACTAACCTAATCTGTAGATTATAACCAATCCGAACCTAACCTAACTGTTTAGTTATAAGCAGACTTGCATCTTTTGTTTTTACTCATTACAAAGATTAAAACCTAACCAAAAAATGAGTGAAAGTGAATTAGAAAATGAAAATAATTTATTTAGTCAAACGGAATTTGCAATAATAAAGATATCCTTTCTAATTGTAAGTCACAATTATTGGCAATCCAACAACGGAAAGAAAAAGTCGTAATCACCATCTGTTGCCAAATATAAAGAATTATTCGTTAAAGACATCAATAGTCAAATATTTATAAAAAAAATAATAAACCATATGAAATCTTGTTTACAGAAAAGCAAAGATCAGGTAGAGGTAATATGTATGTATACTTATTTTTGTTTCATTAAAAGTAAAGCACTTCCTTTATTTTATCAAAGTAAAAGTTATTGTTTCAGTTTATTCATATCAACCAATGTATTATAAGGAAAAGATAATTTTCTTGAAAAGAAAAACTCTTTAAAAAATAACAGCCTTATTACGCAACGTTTATTTTTTCCACGAGAAAATATAGCCTACCCCTGTCGTTGCATAAAAGTGCCGATGATAACGTATCTGCAAAAAACATTTAAGGTAATATCATACCGGGAGTCGTAGATGGACGATTACATATTTATAAATTAGCTGATACAACATAAAGATATATATACAAGTGCTTAATGCAAGGCATAAAACTGGGTTTTCTTCGTTCCACTCCCATGGAGCTTGGTCACCTGAAGAGTTACTATGCCCAATTAACCCTTTGAGAACCGTACGCTTCCCGGGCATTGCCACTTCCGACGTTGCAATAGTTTTCGCCATGTAATTTTTTCGAGTTCGTCAAAATGCCTCGGTTCAATGTTTTTCATTACACAATCATAGGACGTGAATCTATGATTAATATTTGGATTATTTGATAATGAATAAACAATCAAGTAATTATTTTCAAAAAAATATTTCTATCCTTTTGGTTCCCTAAAAGAACTTGAACATTGAAGTTTAATCCTTAAACAAAGATATTGAACTAAAGTTTATAATTATCTATATAATTTTTAAAGGAATAGTGTAAAATTTGGAAAATGAAAATAATATGAAATACAAAAGTTAATAAAAATAAAACAGGATGATAATTATATTCTTTTGATTATTTCCTTGAAAATAAAAATTTATTAGAGAAAATACTAAAATACAAAATAAATGTAAAATCTTCTAGTGGCATTCTTGTTACAATCAGACGGTGAATCAAACTAAAGGGCACAGAACATCCGTCTAACAGTTCCATGCAATTTCTTATCTTGGCGGATCGATTGAGACTTGACGTTGCGCATGTAGGACTTGATTTTCACACGGGCTATCTACCAGGAATATTTTGAAAGCAACCAGATCGTCGTCCAATAAAACGTGCCGATTCCGAGCGAAATAAGTTTCTCGACAAGATAAACACTCGCGGTGTATTTCCATCCGCGAATCGCGTTCAACAGGTGCATAACTCCGAGCTGGTCGTTTTAAATTCATTATTCGGTCACGTATTATTACCTTGACGGTAATCTTTTTTGTAATTTCGCGATTAAATCGCGTTCTGCTAAACTATTTTAATAACTCGCTACCGTTCGGCAGTGACTAGAAAGAAGAAGAAAAAAAGAGAAGGGAGTGTTCGAATCCTTCACCTGTGACCTGAGCAGCTCACGATGTGTGACCGTCAGCGATGAATAAATTGAAAAGTCACGGAAACGCTGTTGCCAGAACGAAAAGCACCTCCACCGCCCTCGCGAGTGCAGAAAAAAGGAAACTGTGAAACGTACGATTTCTTGCTATGAATTATACATCAATCAACCTCGTAGGAAAGAATTATTTGAATAGCTTTGCATTTTTGAACGCCACACCGCGTCCCGTCGTTCGGCTCGGGCTTCATTCAATCCGCTCGCACCTTACCTTACCGAAGGCACCTTTTAAAATCGCCATTATATTCCCGACCCGTAATCCGAGCATCTTTCCCTCGAAGTCAGTGAACAACGGAAAATTTACAATCCCAGTTGAAGAGCAGTTATAAGCACCGGCGTTGAGCATCGATAATATTCCAGAAGCTCATTAGCGATCCAACAACCTCTTCTCTATCCCCTTCTTAATTATCTGTTACAACCTTAGCCTACGTACGTACAGAACTCGTATAACAGCAGATCAGCACAACGATCAAGCTCAAAAATAGTTCATGGGAACCCAGCTAGACTAATCTCCATCGCATTAGTGTTCTTCCATACGTACATACATACATACATGTATGTATAAATGTTCAGCCGAGAAGGAGGCACCTACACTCATCTTCCAGGGGTCATCACTTTCGAAAGATACTTTGTTCCTCGGTGCCAATTCAATCGCTTTATTCTAATTATCTGGTCTGGTAGGCCAGTAAGGGTGTTCGAATGTTGGATCGGATAACAACCGGGTCGGGTTGGATCGGGTCGAGTCAGGTCGGATCGAGCGGAACCCCGAAAGTTTGTCTAGCACGTGAATTTCTCAAGTACCGGGACTCGACTCAAAACGCAAAATTCAATTCCGGAGCCGACACTGTATTCAGACCATGATTTTTCAATTTACCTTAAATTTTTAAGCTTGAAAGTCTTTTCATATATTATCATGTACAATTGAATTTTGGGTCTCGAGTCGAGTTCGGGACCCGAAATTACGGGTACCCGAACAAATTTACTCAAGCCCAACCCGAATTTTCGGGTACCCGTACACCTTTACTAGCTGTGCAAAAAAGTACAAGTGAGAATTATTAGTTTTGTAGAGAAGCACTTATAATAATATATTTAACCCTTAAACAGCGGAGCCTGGGTCAATCGCGACACAAGCATACAAAGCATATACTTAATGAATATATTAATTATTATCAGAAGAATAATTTTTAAAGGAACAGTATAAAATTTAGAAAATGAAAATAATATGAAATTTAAAATTACATTAAAATTGGGGCTTTCTCCGTAGTCCGCCACCAGAGAATTAAAGTACAATACTATGTTAGATCAGGTATTAGTTTTGGGCGTGAAAGTCAATTACTTGTGTCTCATTCTATTGGGATTACAAAATCATCCTACTCGATTTAGAAAGATTCTTTTTCTTTTTTTTTTTAAATAACGGCTTACGCAGTTCCGATCAAAATTTTATTTATGTTCTTTTACTCACTCACCAAAGAATTGCTATCTAATCCATAAATTATGAGGAAAGGCGAAGGTTGAGTAACAAAATTCATCACATCATATTAATGATGATCGATGAGGAAAAAATTGAATTATTGAAGCTGTTTAAGAAATACCGCATTCTCTGAATTCGTATGAAAAATATAATTCTAGAAGCAATAAAATGAAAGAAACAAAAAGTAATGTTTTACGATTACACATAAAATCATAAATCTATATTAATTGTAGGATACTTTATTTTTTGTCTATTTAGAATTCCATACAAACATAGCAAACAAAATTGAATTTAAAAAAGTTCCATCCCCCCCACCACTATCGAGCAAATCTTAACAGTCCAATCAAACCATTTATTAAAACTTCAACCCTCGTCGCTCGTTTACAACAGACGTAACGAACAGTAGCCCCAATTAAGAGCGAACGCAAAACAATTACGACCGGTTAAACCATATCTATCATCGTCCTGCCCCGTATCGCTTTGGTCTTTAACGTAACCACATTATACGGAGTGTCACGTATCTGATAGTATAAATAAACAAATTTAATAAATCAAAGAGATACAGTACAGTATTTTTACATTGTATTCATATGAGTACGCAGTAGAAAAAAATCATTCCCCCTCTGATATTTTTCTCTGATTATTACCTAACAAATTATTATCAGGCACATAGTACATAAGTATAGAAATAAATTTTCTGATACCGATTTTTTTTTGTAAAGAAAAGCTTAAATGTGATAATCTTATTCTATATTTTCGGCTCGTTTCGTTGTCCAAAATTACCATCAACACTTCCTATCGCAATGCGAAGACTTAAGTAAATTTTCGTGGTAAATAATAGAGGTGTGCGAGTACTCGTAATTTATAAGCCGAGCTGAACTCGCTTCGATTGTTCGAACCGAGTCGAGCGCTTGAATTTTGCCGAATTACTCGAAATTGACGAACTGTTCGAAAAAATCGAACTACATACTCGAATATTCGAGCCGTCGCGTCGTAAAACTTCGATTTACTTGAAGTTGAATTTTCAGCTCGAATATTCGAGTAGTTCGATTTTTTCGAGTAGCCCGTTTCTGTTTCAAACGGTTCGCCGATTTCGAGTAGCTCGGCAAATTCAAGCGCTCGACTCGGCTCGACCGACCGATCATTGTTTGACTCGAAATTCGAGTACTCGTACACCTCTAGTAAATAACCAAAGGCTCCTACTAAAAACTTCTCTAAAATCATCACACTTATGTCCCAGAGATTGTTTCCTTTCACATTTCATTAATAAGTGTCACTTTAACGAAATCAGCAGCTGTATGCTTTGAATTACCTTTGAACTACAACCACGTTGAAAGGCAGAAGAGATTTGTTGAATTTCTCTTTTGTAAATGAGGGTTAGGCAAAGAACTTAAAAAACTGTACCATTGTTAAATGTTGAAAGTGAGCAGCATCCGTGCTACATGTACCGATATCATTTCAGCGTACGATAAGCAAGGTCGCATGCACCGGAGTCAGAATCGTGCGCTCTCTTTGGTCTTTCTTAAAATTTACGATCGTTCCCGGTCGGGTCCACCTTAACGGTGAAAAATGATGGTTCACCACCGTGGCGACCTAGCAACCCTGGCATACACACGTTACCAGAGGCGTACACACATAGAGAGAGAGTTTTGTCGTGTCCCTGGACGGCATTCTACCACCCGCAGCCGACAACAGGCCAGGCCAGGGCAGAGTCTTAGGCCAGGCCAGCCAGCAGTCGTGTAAGAAGGGGTTAAGAAACTCTCCAACTAAAGTGCCTACACCGGAAGCAGGGGCCTTGCTTTCTGGGCTAATAACCCTACTCACATCGACACGCGGCCACATCTGGGTGCGCGTGTACACGCTTAGACGAGAGAAAGAAAACCGAGAAAACAGAGGGAGAAATAGAGGGAGAGAGAGAAGAGAGCCGAGCGAGTAAGCGAACGAAGAGGGAAAAGAGGCGCAATACACTCCGAGGAAACTTTGCGGCCTGCACCTATACGAGAACGTACACAAGAACGGGCTCCCCTTATCAGCATGCAAAGCTAGATTTTATGTGCGATCGGCTGGCCTAAGGATTCGTACGCAAATTGCAATCGACTCGGTTGCGTACCAGCCTAACGAGAAATCGACTTCTCTGTTGCGAATTACCGACCTTCTACGCTCTAGACGGACCTTCTTCCAAACGAGATCATAGACATTTAGAAATGTTCAATTCAAAGTGGCAATTATATTCGCATCTTCTTTCCATTACAAATTCGTACTATTTTTATGCAAGTCTCGAAGCATTCGGACACATAATTAGATAAGCCACTCTTTTTCTACTGTGTGTACCTTTCAATTTTATTGTTCATCTTCTAAATTCTATATTGACAAGCTATGGGTAATTAGTAAATTGTATGTCCAACAGACACTGACACCTAACATGGTGAGGACACACAGAATACTTTTTTCTTTTTTTATAGTGTATTTGTAGAGACAGGTACAAACATTGTTGTTTCTTTGGTCTACTATTTCATATAAAAGAAAAACCTTAATTTAATAATTGAAAAGTTTTTATACAGAGAAAAGCACATAACTTGATCATCTTTTCATTTTTAACAAATCTTATTTATTATTTTCACAATATTTCGTAATTTTTTATTACTATCATTTCAAGTACCCAATACGAGTAATTCTACTTACAATTAGTTAGATAAGTGAAAGAATTTCTAACAATATAAGTGATGAATGCTTATAGATATTCAAGCGTCACCCACATAACGTCCATTATAGCAAAAAATATGCTTCAATTTTTCAAAACAAATATCGAGATCACATTCGATTTTTAAAATTTTTCATTACATAATTCAAAGAATTATGAAACAACTAAAAAATTATAAGAGCACGTGTGCCCTAAAACTAATAACTGCTGAAAAATTATTTAACTAAATTCCATTCGTGTGAAATCATGTTTAATTTACGTGCAAAGGACGATGTCACGTTTCTGAATCGATGTCTGTCAATAGAATTAATGGTTATAGGAAATAATGAATAGTTTATTCATTGGTTCAATATTGCAGTTTTCTACATACATTTCACCCTTCTTTTTAAGATTTTACCTTATTTTCTGACCTTTTTTGGTAATATTATACAATTTGGTTTATTCAGTTTTATGCAGTTAATGCGTTTCATAGATGCTATGGACAACTTTCAAAAACGCAAAAACAGGAATTTATTTGAATTTAAGACAATTACTCGGAACGTTAAAAAAGGACTAAAATTTTGCATACTTGTATTTAATAATAACTCAATCAGAATTTAACAATAAAAAAGAGCAAAAGAAAGAACAAGGCAGCGTTAAAATGCCCTCTTCTTGTATTTATAATAGAGTAACTTTTGCATACTTTTGTAAATAATTAAAATTAGAAATGTACGAGAACCTAAAAATTTCGAGTACCCAACACTTGGTTCGGGTACACGAATTTTAGAGTTTTCGAACATCTATACTTTCGATAACCCTGACCCGATAGTTTCGAGTTCTAGAATACCTTTAACCCATGAATGATGGACATGGAGAGAGCCTGAATTTTAATTTAATTTTGTACTTCATATTATTTTCATTTTCTAAATTTGATATTGTCCTGTTAAAAATTATTCTTCCAACATATTATAAAACTTTCGTTTAAATATTATACACTTAACTTTAGATCAATATCCTTTTACATATTTGTTTTTAAGTGCACTTAGGTCTATACTGACCCAGACTTCGCTGATCAAAGATCAATTAAAATGGTCGTATTAAATATATAAGTACTTTATTTATATAAGTTTAAGTGATGATAAATTTTAATAAAATAACAAAGTATTCAATAAGAAAAAGATACGCCTTGTTCGTATTTCACAAGTAAACTATTTCAGATCATCCTCGCCGCCATCGCGCACAATCGCCAACCTTATCTTCATCTGTCCGTGTTTCCATAAAGTGCAAATTCTTGCGGGAATTCTAGTTACTCGTGAAAAATTAATATCTTTCTTCTCACGGTGTACCGAATAAAAGTGGATGTACGGTTAAGTCGCCAATTAAATGCAGAATTAACCCGAATACAGTGTTTCTAGAAACAACATCGAAGATAAGCGGCGCGTACGTGCGTGGTGGCGAGCTACTTAATAAAACCAAATTAATTTGTAATTACGTTAACCCGGATGCGACCCGTTCCCCACCACGACTAACGATCTACAAAACTACCAAACTTCCGCATTCATTCGTTTCGTCAAGAACATCGAAAGACCATCGAAATTTCTGTGGAAAACGATGTTCATCCGAGTAATGTCGTTTCCGAGGGAATTACCGAAGGCAACGTTTAATTAACACCAACGAGGAACGAAACCCTTATTCGTTATCACGGAAAACGGTACAGTATCCCGTTTTCTGCTTCCTCCGGTCTCACGTAACGAATTAAACACCTGTACGTGGGATTAGAAGGTTTCGGCTGACATGCCTCCGTATCCCTCTCTCTCTATTCCACTCGTTTGCCTCTCTCTCCTCTATCTCACCGTGATTCCTCTCCCCCATTCCCCTTTCCCCTTCCCACCGACCTCTTTGTCCTTTTTCTGTCCTCCCACCCACCTTCATCGCAAAACCGCCTCTGTCTCTCTCCTTTTTCCCGGTCGCTTGACACATTCGCGCGGAGAAAATGCAGCGCAGCGAGCTCTCCCCGTGGCCGAGGTATATGTATACACACATATTATATATATATATATATATATATATATATATATGTATACACATATATACATATATAGGAAGGGAACGGATGTCTGGTGTGTAAGGAACCGCTAAAATGGTGTTCGCTCTTATCCGAAGATCTAGAGCGGCGATGCGAAGAGAGGCACGCGGAGGGCTATACGTAAGGTAAAAGGGGGCTCATGACTGGTTGGTCGGTCGGTTGGTTGGCTGGTTGGTTGGTTGGTTGGTTGGTTGGCTGGTTGGTTAGCTCGTTCGTTCGTTCGTTTCTTCGTTTCTTCGTCGTCGTTGTTGTCGTTGTTGTTGTTGTTGTTGTTGTTATTGTTGTTATTGTTGTTGGCTGACTGTCTGGTCTGGGTTGGTTAGTGCCGTTACCAGAAAGAGGCCACCTAGGTTCGCAAGCAGTCGAGTTAAACTTCGAACTTTCTTTGTAATGAGACACCCAGCCGCAAAATGACAAACGTAATTAAAGCGGAAAACGGGAGGTAAGGTCAGAGAAACCCCTGGCCCCTCCAGGAAACGGGCGAGAAGGATTTTCACAATGGGAAACGATGCGTCGTTGCTCGTTTGCTCGTCACCGTGAGCACGGTACGTGGAATGTCTTGGACGGGACTCATTCAGACGCTTATGCCAGTCATTTTGGGACGCATTGCTGCACTCTTATTCATCACCGTGTCCTCGTAATTTTATCTGGCCCCTCGATCTCTCCCCTTTCCGTTTCCATCGGCGTAATTCAACCGACCAGGATCCCCCTCAGATTCTCCCTCTGCTCGCTTCGTTCAGGATTCTACAATAGCCACGGATCCTTAACGTCCTGGTGGGTGTTAAATGGTTACGTAACGTCATAAGTATACGACGAAGGTATTATATTTCTCTATATCGTCAAGTCAAATCGACTCCACTGTTAACTGGCAAATCCCATCGTGCATTAAAGTTCGATTAAACACGTGGTAATCCCACGAACGAATCAATGTCTTTCTCTCAGATGAACAACACATCACAAGAGAGATTATCGTGTACGCTTCAAGTCGGAACAGCGGACTCGACTGGTGATTGCAAACGTGTAAAATTACGAGCCACATCGCCGAGCAAAAGCACAATTGTATCGTGGGTTAATCTTTACAACGTGCCATAAAGATGCGAGCCTCCGGAGATTTAGAGACCGTTGGATATACATAGGTTCGATGATCGCGAAACGGGAAAAAGAAAGATGTGTCTCGGCGTAGAGTATGAAACTCCGAGGCCCATGTTCGAACGTTGTGGGACCTTTTTTCAGACAATCGAAAATTCAACCTTGCCCCGTTTTACGTCTCTACACAACAATGGAAACGCAATGGTACAACACATTTCACTTTTTCGCAACCCGTGTACCGGGGAGCCTAAAAGTGTTGCGCGATTTCCTACGTCTTGCCGCGAGAGAACTCGCCTCGTAGACACAATGTAGATTGGGTTTGGCCGTGTACCGTAAAAGCGTAATTATCATCTTTCGAAACGAGCCGACGTCTTTCCAGAAACGTCAGCCTGTTTCCTTTACGAACAGAAAGAAAAAAACAACAGGGTAATTCGCGATTTAACGATGGTACCTTGTTACCCGCTTAGGAACACCCTGTCGACGATGACCAATTAAGTGAAGTTCAGAAGCTCTTATGAATATAAGCTTTTCTTCGATTTGTTAGAATCTATTGACCTAACTATATGTATATGCTATCAACAGAAAGTTCAGAAACGCGTCTATCTTTTGAGGTAACGTTCGAATAACTTTCGAATAAATCGATAATACTATTTGAATGAAAATTTCAGTATGTAGCCATTTTCCTGACTCTATTCGCGTACACGTTTGTAACAATGGCCATTTTTATTACTCCTACAAATCTTGTTAGGACTTCTAGTACTAATCTGTACATTTATTTAACGACTTATGAAGTAATTAGGTGTTAGAAATTGTTCTTACATTAAAAATACTTTAGATTTTGAAAAGTGTAATCAAGTGTGGTGTAGCTGTTATAAAAGGTTACAATATGACAAAAGGCAACTATTGAATAATGAGTGCAAATTTGTTCATTAATACAGAAAGGATATTCGGTAAGAAAAACTAGGAACGGCATTGAAATTTCACTAAAAGGAATGTATTATAAGTACATATTAAATTCTCGCAATGTTTGCTCCCAAACTTTCCATCAGTAGTGTATGACTGTATATGTATAACCAATGAAATACTGTAATAACTGCTTAAATAGATAAAGTTTTTCGAGAAACTGCTAATTGAAAAAGATAAAACATTTCTTCGGTACATTGGAGTATACAAACCCTGTCGAAAAGATCCTCTTGCTTTCAAAGTCAGATATGAAGCATATTTGATTTATAATTACAAAGATGCATTAAAAAAGTACGAAGTCAAAAGTTCGGGATTTTTAATTTATATAAAATAATAATAAATATATGAATCTAATGATTTTTTATTTTCTTCTTTATGTGACATCAGAAGAAAGGAAACGTTTGCAAAATTAACACTGAATTTTCCTCCTCCCATTATCTTACAAAATGCCAAGATTAAGGATGTTAAAAGTTCGTTATTGTTTGTGAATAGAAAAAATTGTATAAAATTATTGAAAATTAAATTTTGGTACATAAAAATTAAATTGAGAAATATTTTACCAGTTCTTATTCAATAATATTTTATTCTGCATTGATAATGAAGTTCATTTAGTATATCGACTTTAGAAACTTTTTATCAATATTGCGGCTCTATTAATGAAAGAAATCTTAACTTCAAATATCTCGAAACACGACTTTAATAATTACAATCGTATTTTAACCCTTGAACAACACAGTCTGAATCAATTGTAATCCAAACTTACAAAACGAACATAAAAGTATTAACCTAAAATTAAATGTATATCTAATTTTTTAATGAAAGAGATTCATATATTAGAACAATAATTTTTAAGAGACAGTGTTCAATTTAAAAAATGATAAAGTGAATTAAAATTGTGGTTTTCTCCATGGTCCGCCGTCCGAGAGTTAAAAAACTCATCAATTTAAAAACAAATAATGAAAAGTAGAGGTGTACGAAAACCCTACAATATCGGGTTAGATCGGGTCGTATTGAGTTCTTAAAAGTATCGATGTACGAGAACTCAAAACTTTCGGGTACCCGATACTCGGATCAGGTCGAAAATTATTTTGATCGGCTGAAAGTGAATTATATACAGTTTTCTGTAAACACTCTCATTCACAGTCATGTTCAACAAAGTTCACCTCGAAACAGTTCTCTAAATTTCAAGAATTCTAGTTTAAAGCATAATCAAAACTATTCGACTTAACCCTTGTAAGATCGCGAGGGTATAGTTGTACAGAAAACCATAAAGTCATCTAAATAATAAACTCTCCAATTACTTCAACACTTGTAAACTATTTTTGTCGGCAATCAAGTACGCCAATTCTTTTACCATTTTACATTATCAAATTAATAATCACTGATTTACCAAATATGGCAAAAAACTCTTTCAACCTCCATTTCTAAAACGCAATTTGAAAACGCAATCTATGTGACATCATTACACACCATTAATCCATTCACATCAAAAATTGCAAAGTATATCCATACAAGAGGATGGTTTGAAATATAATAAAATATTCGAACTGATTTGTAATAGCATAAGAAAACTGTCATCGGTCAGTATACTAGGTCAATTCTTGTTAAAAAATTTGTAGAAAACGATTATCTTCTATTCACACAACACTTTCAAAGTTTCAAACAATTAATGATGAATAAATAAATACTGGTTATTAACATTTATATAAATGATTATATAGAGATATTTAAATGGTAACTTTGATGGTAATTCGCAATCTCTAAATTGTTAACCAATTTTAATTTATTTTGAATGAGAATTATTTTGAAGACAGTGATCACTGAATTAGTCCTCGTGTGTTGTTTTGCACCAACTTGAAAAAAGTCGGACCTTATTATAAGTGATCATTGTTTTTAAAATCGTTTTTATCCAAGATATAATATTATAGATCAGAATTAAGAAAAATTTATAGATCACAGCTTACCATCAAAGTTAGGGTTTAAATGCCTCCGCATAATGACCATATAATACCTTACTGGATAACAAATTATAACATTAGTAACTAATATTTCTTTATTTAAAAATACAGGGTGGTCCGAAATTTGTGGTACAAATGGGGTCACGATGATTTTATGATTCAAAATAGGACAAAATCAAGAATAACGAAATTGCGCAGGAAACTTTGTTTGCTGCAGAAAAAATGTAAAAGATACATTTGAAAAATCAGTTTAAGTACGCGTGTACTTAACTAATAATATAACCGATGTTACAGATTATTTTTTATTATCTTCTCGATTTTCTCGATTAGGTATCTGTGGGAAAACGTAAAATGAATAGTTTATTCCGAAGACATTGTAAGTCTTGAACATTAAAAAATAAAACAACGACTCATTTGAAGAAATAAAAATCTGGGATACGCAGTAAACAGTAAGACAAAATTTAGTTCAAAAACTACGACTTTGCATACGGGAAAATGGTCAACATTTTCAACAACGAATAAGTAATAAACTAAGCTCAACTAACAGTGCAATTGTTACTTTATTATCATTATTTATTACGTTTAATGTGTATGTACAAACAGTCACAGCAACGTTCCATAGTAGAATCGGTAATATCGGTTATTAGTTAAGTACACGCGTACTTAAACTGATTTTCAAATGCATTTTTCTTGAAAACGAGGCTTCCCACGCAATCTCGTTATTCTTGATTTTCGACTTCTTTTAAGCCTTCTTAGAATCACCCTGACCCCATCTGCACCATGAATTTCGGACTATCCTATTCGGACTATGTATAATTACATTTATGTAATTATTACATACATTCTCGAAACTTTGCAAAATACATACTCCGGGGTGTTACTAATAAGTCCTAACAACCTATTAGATTTCGAAAGCTCTCGAGCGAGCTTAATACACAAACATGGTATCGCATCATTTCGAAGAGTTACCTTGTTTTCCTTGATCCATGAAAGAGCCTTTTCAGCGCAGCGACCGTACAGAGATAAGGGAGCATCGATTCGATCGTCTCGATCGGAAGTAGCCCATCCTCTCTGCGGTCCAAGTGGCTCGATAAGACGCGCGAATCGCGCGCGAAATGCCGATGCTTATTTATTGGCAGTCGCGTAGCTGCGTGTGGAACGTCGTGCCTCAGCTTCCACGCGAAGCCGGCCAAATACTTTTCTGTGATTCCCAACCATCCCGAAGCCACGAACCACGTTACATTCCTCCCTCGATCTTCCAACGATCTCACCGAGTCCTCCTCCACGAAGCACCGGCAGCCAGCACCCACCGGGTGTATATTCACGCACCGCGGGAGCTCGCATAAAACTGCTCCCGAGTTTGGTGGGGTCAGAGATCACGTTACCGGCCGATAAACATCTCACGTGAGTGATTGTCGATGATATTTCACTTAAGGGATCGTCAAAGTCCGCCGCTACCTCCTTCCTATACCAGGAATTTCTTCTTCGCTGCATCAACCCTCTGGTACCGGTCTTCCTACACCGTTTCAGCACAATCGAATCGGTCAATTGAAGACCGGTACAACTCCAAAAACTACGTTCTAAGATATATAAAAATATAGCTTTAGGTTTTTATCTTGATCATTGGTGCCATTGATTTTATAATGATCCTACAGTTTTGTAAACTTCTAATGTTTCTTGGTTTCAACGTGTCAATTTCTATGCTTTTCGCATTTGGTTTTAAAATTGTTGAAAATTACTAATTTTGAACATACACTATTCTTCAAGTTACAATAGACTCGCTTTATATTATCGTTAAAGGACTGTAACAACAGAACGTTTTTCAAGCTTTCAAGCTTTCACTTGGAGGGACGAAGGGGAGGTAAAAGTGTATCATCTTTGTAGGTTATAATAGCGGAAGAGCAGCACTAGTATGCTTGAAAATCCGTGAAATGGTCAAATGAATCAGATGACAATATAACGAGAATCCACTATATTAATTAAATTGATAAAACAACACAAGCTTCGATAAGTGAAATACATTTTTTCCTCGAACACATTCTGTTGAAGGATTACATCAATTTTTAATATTAAATTTTTAGGACTGTTGGATGCAAGGACCTCAACGTGAAAAGTCAGTTTTAAGCAAAAGCGTTAAATACTTTAGTATACGTTGTAAAATTATTATAAAATTGTTCGTAATATTTAAAAATTTAATATTTCTTATGTGTAGCTTCATTATTTCAAATGAAATTATGTAATAAATTGATCAATGAAGTTAATTTTGATTATGGCATTCTCGGTCCTTTTTTTGCATAAAATGTTATAAGATCTTTTTTTTAAATGAAATTTAGTACTACACCAAATTGTCTGACAAAAATATGTAACTAACTAATGGCATCAATCGTAAAGATAATTACTTGTATTAACTCTTGCCCGGCTAACCATGGAAAGAGCCACAAGTTTAATTTAACTTTATACTTCATATTGTTTCTATTTTTCAGATTGTACACTATTCCTTTAAAAATTATAGTTCCAATATGTGAGACTTTCACTTTAGATTTAGAGTTTAAGTGAAATGTATAATTAGGTTGACATTATCGTTGCACATATTTTGTTAGTTTGAACCACGATTGACCCAAGCTTCGTTGTTATAATGACTTGCTATGATATAAAAATAAAAGAGGGTTTTGTACAAATTAAAAATATTCATGCCAATTTGATCGAATTTGATCTACGTATTGTAACTGTTTAGGCTCTCGTGGCGCCACCTCTTGCAAATTAAAGAGAAATTCAAGTGCGTGTATTCATAGCGCCATTCAACATGCTATAAACTGATCTTGAGATTCTGTTCTTTTTTTTCTTTTCCTTTTCCTTTTCCTTTTCCTTTTCCTTTTCCTTTTCCTTTTCCTTTTTGCATTTCCAATAATTATTCGTCCGCGCTATGCTTACTTAGTTTCTGGTCGGTAGCGACAGGCATTCGTACCGTTTAATTAACTAAACGCAGCATAGTTCGATAAACAGCACGTATCAGCCATAAACTTACCACCGCCTTCGACGCTGCTGATAACATTTTATCGTTCCTGGTTTTTCTTACCCACTGTTATGTCAGCAGCCATACTCGAAAGCACCTTTACGCCCACGTTTCCCTGTAACCAAAGAAAGACGGTGTACATACATACATATAATAAATACACGTGTGTACGTGTGTACATGTGGTGAATCGTACAACATTGCCAACAGACACCCCCTACGGAAAGAACGATTTTTATTAACTCATAACTTTGAGTTAAAGTCTTCCTTGTTGCAATGGGTTAAAAATTCCTGTATTTGATATATTTTGTACTCTTACAGATATCAGAAATATCTTAAAATTATTTCTTGGATTATTATTTAACACGTTGAATATTGGGAGGATCACTGCTGAATGATACAATAAATTTGATATTGTACTGGAATAATTAAAATAAAAAAATATTAGTAGAAAAGGTAGAAAATATGGACCGGATTCTTATATTGTTAGATAAGTGTTGTAATCTGTCAGAAGCTGCAATAAAAACAACAATTAGTACCTTCTAGTGCCACCAGATAGAGCTGGTGTGATTTGCATGTTTACTTTGGCTAAAAAAGGAAAGCGTCTGTTTTTGTTCACTTGAAAAGTCTTTTAAGGTAAAATTAGTCAATATTTTTCTCATATTAATTAACAAATGTAATATGTTATTTATAAAAATATAATTAGATAAAAAGTTAAACTTCAAAATTCTTTATTTAATTATCTGGAAATATCTTTCTCATTCTGAGCGAGATTGTTAGATTATCTTACGATTAGACCGAAATGCTATGAGGTGTCACCATTAAAAGACTATCTTAAATTTCATTAATTAATTATTTATTTCTTATTATTTCTGATTATCAAATCTTTTAATCATTAGTGTCCAAATAATTTTGAGATTTCACATCTAATTACTATAGACGCAAAAACACTTGTTCTAATTTTAAAATACAAGATCTATAAAAAGAAACTATCTGTTTGTTACGTGTTTCTCAATTTTATGCTCTGGTCCATAAGACCACCCACTTTCTCAAACCGCGTCTTTGACAATATTTCGTAAAAATGACATAACTTCAAACTAATTGAATTTTTACTTGAAACTACTGATACATTATCTCAGAACTATGAACTACCATTTTTGTCTTTCGCTCATGCGCTTTTTACACTTTTAATGAAGAAAAATGGTCCATATTTCCGTTATATCTCCTATTTTGATATAAAGTATGTACATGAGCGGAACAAAGGAAGGGCCACGATGAGCCCTAAAAATGTGAGCTTTAATTTCACTTTAAATATCAGAATTAAAAAATTCAAATTACTAAAATTACAAAATTCAAGATCCTAAAAACTTAAAAGTTCAAAAATTTCAGGTTTCCAAGACCCTAAAATTAAAAAATTTCTAAGGGACCTGGCTCACCCTGAAGAAGGTTCCAGTTTCACCAATGACAAAATAGTAAATAGAAAGCTTGCAATATGAAATCAGAAAATTAACTGTTCTTATTCTTAATAGTGCATTCGCAGCAGAGAATCTGTTCACTTTTCGAAAGATGGATGTTGTTTCTAATAACTTAAGCCGGCATACTGACTTTTTCTTGCTAAGTTTCATTTTGATAAAACTTTATAAACTGAAAATAAGCGATACACGTATTTTTAACCTGTTAACCCTAGAAGGACCAAGGAGGAAGTTTGTCAAGCTCATCAATTAAAAAATACTGAAAATATATTATATTTTTGCATCTAAAATATGTATTTCCAATAAGTTATTTATTTACATTTACTGAGATTAATATTATTAACATTTACTTCAAGATTAATACTGAAAACGCAAATTTGGTTTAAATTTGAAATTACAGTAGACTCTCGTTATATTGCCGCAGACAGAACGGTGAGAATGGACAATTTTTCAAGCTACCAAACTTTCAGTCGGATGGGAAAAGGGAGATGAAATTGTATCATTTTCGTAGGCTATCCGAATTTTCGGGTACCCATACACTCCTAAATATTATTTATCAAGATATGCACCATTTTTTTTTTTTTCAATAACTTATTGCCATCTTTTAAGTAACTATATAATTCTATTCATGTAGAACTTTTCAGCCTTCTGGCTAAATTTTCCAAACAGCCCAATATATGTATCGAATAATTAATTTAAAAAAAGGAACAAAAAATTCTGATAGCCTCACTATTATACTAATAATATTAAGTAAAAAGTAAAATTTAAGTAAAAATGTCTTATTAAACACGTCTACTTTTACTGTGGTAATTAACGTGTTAAGAAATGATTTCACCCCTTCAGCAAAGAACCAAAGAATACGTGCCGCTCTATATAATCTAAAAACCGTTCATTATTTTATATTATATAATAAGCTTAAGAGAAATACTGTATAGATGTATCCTACAGTTTTACCAGATTGATGAGTGTTAAACGCTTATGTTGAAACAAGTGTACTTGATTTCCAAACCGAAACTAATTTTAACTTCGTTATAATCTCTCTAGACTACAAGAAATGCTAAAAAAAACGCTGAAATAACATTTATTTAGCATAAATTTCAATTCTAAATGATTATCAATTTCATCAAGTTAATACACTCAATGAAATATATAGTTTTTTACGCATAAAATCAGGTTTTTACATATCAGATAAACGTTACCATATGTATATTGATCAATTTCTTTTTCTATTTATTTCAGTTGAGTAATATACCCTTATCGCAAAAGAAATTATAAATAAATTAAAAAATCTGCGTTATACAAAAATTTAACACATATTATTTCATCTTTATCACACCATAAATGGCGTTTAACATTATCAATAAATTATTGATATAATAGCTTAACTCTTGAATAGTCTGGGACAATCGAGACCCAAAGTTACAAAATATATACAAGGATATTATCCTAAAGTTTAATGTATAATATTTCAACAAAAGATGAATAGTATTCATATAGGTATTGGAAGAATAATTTTTAAAGGAACAATGTAAAATATAGAAAATGAAAATAATATGAAATCGAAAATTACATTAAAATTGGGGCTCTCTTCATGGTCCGCCGTCCGAGGGTTAAATAAAAAGCACAAGGGAAATACGATTGTATTTCACTCTAAATCAAAATTAAAATTTTAGCATCATCTGTTAGAGATGACTAATAACTAATCTCTTCACATTCACGATCAAAAGATAGTTACTTTTTTTTGCCATGTCTCGTTTACCTCTTTGATTTATGTTGAAACAGGAAGTATACGTGTACGCCATTTTATTAGCGTTACAAAAAGTTTCTATTTATAAATGTAATAAAAAAATTTGACAATGGATCAATTACATGTCACCGGTGGCACCCATATCATTCAACATATTAATCATTTCCACTTATTGAGCAGAGCACATTATTAATTTTTAAAATTCGACAAAAATGAATTAAAAAAGAAAAATTGAATATATATAATTTGACGTTTTTAATAGCTATTTAATATACTACATAAATAGAAACTAAAAGAATGAGACAGTATCAATGCGTTCGGGTCTAATAATAATTGACCGTGTGAGTCTTCTACGTTATATGTATATATATAATTTTATAGACAACGCATCGTGTGCATCTTGCATAGAAATTGGTAGGACCTATCGTTAGGACCTAAAAAGCGATCAAAGATCCAAAATCTTTCAAAAGTAATGTAATGAAAGGGCATGTGTGATAGGTAAAATTAATATTCATTTAAAGGAAAAAATGAGTAGCATGATTCCTAAGAATCATGTTACAACAAAATTAACAAGCGAATTGTGATAAACGTGAAATTTATCGATTGATAATTTTCTAAACCATATAGCCGTTAAGTTGTAACAAAAGGCTGGAGGAACCAGGAGCGCGTGTTGAGTCAACCTTATATGATGCAATTCTATCGCATCTGGCTAAAGGCGGTAATCTTCGCGCTGGTAACACCTACGGCCATTAATAATTCCTGCCTGGGGTCTTTACCACGTGGGTTTTCTCTGTACGACTGCAAACGACCATTTCTAGAGGCACATTGAAATCGCGGCTTCTGTGTGCGTAATGCAGTGGATGCGTCTTGGTCGTTTGGTTGTCGGACGCTTGACTCGATTTCGCGACCGCAACCCGAGAGATATATCTCTCCCGATTTTCTTCCCTCTCGTTCCTTCACCGCTTCTCTTTTCGTTTCTTTTTCTTATCTGTCGCGCTTTCCTCTCTCTTCTCGCCACTAATCCCCCTTGTTTCTCTCTTTGTTCCCGTTCCTCTTACCCCTTCCGTGCTTCTGCCGATTCTCCCTTCTCTTCCCGTCCCGCCAATGGGACAGGGAGATAGCAGACCCCGTCGTGGAGACAACATAAAGATTTAAGACTCCAAGATGCGCCAATAAACATGCTGCGGCCATGCAGTCAGCCTGCGCTTCTCTACTGCGTTCGCTTCTGTTCCGTTTCATTCGGTTCCGCTCTGTTCCGTCCCGTTCCGTTCCGTTCTCTTCTGCTCCGCTCCGCTCCGCTCCGCTCCGCTCTGCTCTGTTCTGCTCTGCTCTACTCTGCTCTGTTGTGTTCCGTTTCACAGCCAGCATTGGGGGGTAACGTAGTAAGTGCGCATACGTGTGTGCATGTACGAGAAGGCGAGAAGCACACACGGTGCCGCTGTACACGCGGATGCAGGTTGACCCTCCTCGTGTATGCACGTGGTGCCATTGCATGGCTGCGTAACGTGCTCTCGAAAAGTGTCTCGATGCGTATGCAGATATGCGGCTTAGCATGAATAGTATCTAGATCCAACGGCGGATAATCCAGCGCGATACTATGGAGATTCGAGCTCCAACTCTCGGATTTCTAGAAATGCGCGCACACCGGAAGAGGTGTTTCATTTTCTCTTTTTCTATCGTTTAAACGAAGCACAAAGTATACATGGAGATCTAAGCACGAGCATCGTATCGTCTTATTCGAGTGTAATTGAAGTAGCAAGGATGTGTTGAAGGGGGTCGGATGGACTGAATCGTTAGCTCCATTCCCTTCGGCACTCTTTCATTTACCGACCTAATACATTCATTAACGTTACAAAGATCGTTAAATGGATCTGCCTTCCGTTACGTTCAGTTCTCCTCCCACGACAAAATCACTTGTCCTCTAAAATCCATTCGAAACATCCTCGAGAAGTGATCTACGAGTTCTACTCGACAACGTGTCCCCGTCGAGGAGGAAGAGACTTTCCGGATAACGAGACAGAAGTACACCTGCCGCGTTCGTAGCGGAGGCAGGACACGCTGGAAAGTTTTCAATGCGAGGACGGTCGTACACCGCAAAAGTAGTAGATCGGGACGTTGGTCGACCAAGCGGCAAGGGACTGAACGGTGGAACCGTTGCTGCTTCTGCTTCTGCCTTTGCTACTGCTCGGGCTCCTTCTACTTTTACCTGTCCTCTCGCTCTCCCGGCCCAGCTTATTTATTCCTCTCTCTGTCGCTGCCTCCCTTTCTTCTGGGACTTCTTCTTTATTTCTGTCCTTTTGCCCGTTTTCTGCTTCCGCAAACGACAGCCGCTTATTTATACCCCGTCTTTGCATCGCGCGGGACCGAGCGAGGGCGCTTTTGCGTTTACTCGCTACTGCCGTTCCCTGCCGCTTCTGTGTTGCTCCGCCGATACTTTGCTTTTCTGCCCTTTCCCTCCCTCTCCCTCACCCTCTCTTTCTTTCTCTCTTTTCCACCGTCCTACGTAAGTACTCTAGCGAAACATCAACGGCGAGGCACTTCGCTCACGAACACCGTGAGATGCGCTCGATGCGAGAGCCAATTCCGCAACTGCATCACCTGTCAACGCGGGATCGCGTTCCAGCAGGTCTATATTACATGCGGCATGTGGCTAGTGGCTACTGGTCGTAATCGGTAACCAAACTCGGCACCACCACGCTAATTCGTCGACCGAGAAATTTATGACGGTTACCTTCTTTTTTTCCACCGATTCAACAGGTTGCTTACGAAACAGAAATGGCTCTTACAGGTTTATCGACGCCACGCTGGTTGCTGTTTAACTCGCGCGTTCATTACTGACTGCGAAATTAACTTTGAACTCATCGATTGGCTACGATTATTCAAGATATTGGTCGACGTAAACAGTTAATGACTTGGCACAGCAAGGACGTCGTTGATTCGTAGAAATGTAAACTGCATCAATTATTTAGAGAACGAAGTTCAAAAAGGACTTGCATCATCTCGACGAGATTTATTATCAGCAGCTGTAGCTTTTACTGAAATTCATAGATGCTTACGCATATTGCATAATTATACAACTGGGAAGTGTTACGTTGGCCCAAGTGCAATCTTCTGATAAGCTAATTCCTCGTCTCGTGGAATACGACGTAACTGGCGATTAACGTTTCTCCTCGACAAAAGAAGGATGAAAATAAACAATACAATATCTTGACGAGTTTCACGTGTGGGTATTCCCGAGCAGGAAAACTCAAGAGAAGTGGATCACGACGTAGAACTGATAAATACTGGAACCTGATAGAAGAGGAATCCATGAATTTGTGTTATCAAACGATCGTGGATCGTCTCCACATTTACCTGGCGACAAGTGGCACAACGTCATATCGATGGAATCGATTATCTCGAGGCGAGACATCAGTCCAAGATCTGACAACTTCTGGATGAATATCGACAAGGACGTAGTGAGACATGAGGAAAAAGAAGAAAAGGAAAGTCGATTCGCCAAACAGCCGAGCGATCGAAGACGCGGAACGAACTATGGTCCGTACGCTAAAGCCTCTGCTAAGGCTCCGAGGAGCCGAACAAATAAATGCTGAAAAGAGGAACAAAACCGACATTATGTGGCATTAACATACAAAGTATGTCAGACCCGCGGTCCGCAGGCATAACATAGTATCGCGGCGTTCGCATACCCCACCCGCTTTACAGTGACCAGCAGGAACGGGAAAGCATTGAAAAGAGACCGATCCCGAAAGCGGTGAACAGAGGATCAGGGACGAAAGGAGAGAGAGGTAAAGCCACCGTTCAGTGTGTGTCGAGGGAGTAAAACGATCGAACATGAACAGAAAAGAGAGGGTGGAATGATGAACGCAGAAAGGTGTGCGTGGCTGCGGAAAAGGAGCAAGGAAGAGACCGAGGGAGATAGGTAAAGATGAGACGGGAGAGAAAGCGAGAGAATGAGAAACCAAAGGAACAGAGAGGAACGTTTACGCTATCCGAAGTCCCCCGAAGTTCCGTCCCATCCCGTTCCATCGTTTCGCTGTCCCCGTGTGTGCCACGCGGTGCGGCTTAACGCAAAAGGGCTCTACTGTGAGCGGGAGCGGAGTAACAGAACGCGCAGGAAAAGGAAAGATCCGAAGGCAGCAGTGAAGTCGGTGGCAAAACGAAAAATCGGCCCGCATATATCGAGCCGACCTGCGACGGCGACGACGACGACGACGATCGTGGCGGCTACAGCGACGACGACGACGACGACGACGAAGGTGGGACACACACATAAAACGAAGGATTCCATGTGTCCCCGCTGCCTAGAGGACTCCCGATCAGCTACCGCTAGTGTGGGCTCCGAACTCTGCCAGATATGTGATTCAAAGCTGTACACATCACGTTACCTAGAAATATACATATATCTTTCATTTTCTCTATGATTCTATCTGCTTTAGATTTTTGTTAATTATAATACAAAACATTTTCAAAAAATTCTAAGCTCGGAATGTTTAGTGTTATGATATGGTTTCTAATTAGAGAAATATTGAAACTTGCCTTTCAAATTTCAAAATATAAGATAAAATAAATATAGATTTCATAGATTTATGAAAATTACAAACTATAAATTTGCGTTTTGATAAATAGACAATTTTAACGATACTTTTTTATTTTGATCATGACAGAAATTTTAATGCTTTTTTTCGGTAAAAAGAACATGTAATCACACGTGTATTGGAGTTAAAATATACTTATTGTTAGAAAAAAATATAAAATACTGTATTAACGAACACCTTTGAACAATGCCCTTTTACGAACTCAAGTGTTACGCGTGCCCAACACTAACCAATGTCATTACGCCACTTTACCATTTCACATTTCATCTTACGTTCAACGTCAGTAGCTACTATTAAAAAATTATTATTTACGTTTGAAATTCCACATATTTGGACACGTTTACGTGACATATTATTTCAAGTGTCATATAAAAAGTCTCAATTAATTGAAGTTTTAGAAAAAGGTGTAACGACAAAAATATTACATATCATTAAAATTATTGCTGTCATATTAGTAGAAAATTAATTTTCAATTAAGGAAAAAATTTGTTTATGAAGGGTTGCAGAAATTTATTCAAATTAACGATATTAAATTAAATAGTTATTGTAACCATGAGGTAATTATAAGTTTGTTATAAGTACAACAGTAAATCAATATGTGTATAATACATTAAAACTGAATGCATTTTTATGAATACTAAAGCAGTACGTATAATTAAAATTATTAGCTATTATTGCATAATAACATTAAATTATTGTCTTATTAACATATACCAGATAACCCTTTGAAGATAAAATACCACGACATTTTAAATGTATCTGATATCTTGTCACCCAATACAAACTTGTTTCAGCATTGAATAGTTCATTTAAATCTTCTTCTGGAAGAATTTCTATGAGCAAAAAATATGACATTTAGAAAAATTCCAGTTACAATGCTTTTTATTGTATATAATAATCAACTCACGTCCAGGATCATTGTGGGTTAATAATTGAACATCATTTTCTTTAGTAAATGCCTGCAGAGCTGGTGGTACAACACAACATGTGGCTAAACTAATTTGTACAATATTTGGCTTTATCTGTATAAAGCAGAAAGAAACAAGTATATGTAAATACTTATAATATATGTATAATAATATATTTTTACATACATTAATGAAATATATATATAATGTTGTGAAAATAATTATACAAAAACATTAATGATCTTACAGTTGCCCATTGAAATAGATCAATAAATACATTTGTACTGATATCACTTAGGCCAACACTTGACAATTTACCAATTTTAACATATTCTTCTACTCCAGTCCATAAATGTTTCAAAGATGTTAATAATTCTTCAGGACTTTCTTTGTCTGAATATGCAATCACCAAAGACTCAATTGCACTTATATTTAGAGCATTGCAAACTAAAAGAATCATACATCATAATATGGATTTAATCAATACACATATAATGAATAACATACAATATGAAATGTGAATTTTTATACCTTGATCTATTGCTTCTTTTAATAAATTTACATCAGGTGAAGAAAGAAATACTTTTACAGTTATTTTAACATCTTCTCTATTAATATCTTTTAAAGAATTATCTTCAACTCCTTGAATCTATAAACAAATATATTTAATTAATAAATATATTGTCATACAATATAAAATATTGTATTCCTTAATATATTAAGGAATGTAAACCAATAAAACAGAGTAATCATACTTACAATCACTGGATTTTCACCACTACCTTTATTGTCTCGAAGCACAATCTTCAATATTTCTATTAACTGAAAATAACGTTTAAAGGTATTATATTATTCTTCAATATTATAAATGACATAACCTCAAGGATAATAATCCTGATAATGATATGTAACAAGTTTGACTTAAGGAATGTTATTTAAAGTATATTTAAAACTTACCTCGTCTGTGGAATTTTGACTTGCTTTTGTTTTTGCCTCATTCAAGGAAAGTATATTTCCAGTGCGTACTAATACGTTTTGCGACAGCATAGTATACCAAAAAATGTACAAAAATATTAGGTAACACGTAGCAGATGGCTACTAAGAAACGTTTAGCAAACTGATAACATAGATCGTAGTCGAGCGATTAATTGCTCATGATGAGTAAATCGTAGATGACTCGTCTCTGACTAGGCAATTTTTAATCTAAAGATAGTATCATATACATTTCATCATGAAAGCATTTACATTAAATGTGCATGTGCTTTCCCCGATCTTGTCTTATTTTGATCACATTTGATTTGTGCTCAAGTCTGATAAGCATAATATATTCTTCGATTACTCGTACAAAAATATTGACAATTACATGACTATAACTGTATCACCGATTTCCTTATATCATGTATTATGTAATGATTAACGGAGTGTTTCAAATGTATGAGTTTTAATAATTTCTTTATATAAAATTATATACTTTTTAATATTGTATTGAAATTTTATTTTTTAACGTTTTGCACAGCTGTATATTTTTAAAAAGTATTTCTGATATTGCATATCATGCATATTATACAATTATTATAAGATGTTATTTTAATGTAATTTCATAACTTTTACAAATCAATTTTTAAATTAGTTTTATAAATATTCGGTATACAATTTGTTATTTGAATTTTTGCGTATTTCCGTTCGACATCAAATTACATTTATATATTTATACGAATAAATATTATTTTTGTATATGTAAAATATATAAAGTTTACGATTACAAAATAATGATCAATTTGCTAAGGTAAACGAAAAAAAGCTCCAAGTTTCAAATATATATAGTAGTAACTACAGATCCAAAGTATCTGTAGGTATCTTTAGTCACTGTGTATGTATAGTATCGGAACTCAATACATAAACAGATACTGCTCGACAAAATCAATAGTGTGGATATACTTACTGTCCACCGATGACAAGAAGTCACGCGGGACGGCACAGGGGCAAAAGGGGATATTACGCACACATTGACTGACCCCCTAGTTTTACACGAGCCTAATTAGTAGATATGACCGATTCGACCAATCATACGGCACGACCGAAAGTACGTGTGAACTGAGATGGGGTGCGAACAATCAGATTGCATTATTCTCATGGGACAGTATTGTTCACCGATCACAAGGAGTTCTATGAGAATAACGCAATCTGATTGGTCGCACCCCACCTCAGCTCACACGTACTTTCGGTCGTGCTGTATGATTGGTCGAATCGGTCACATCTACTCATGTAAAACGAGGGGGTCAGTCGATGTGTGCGTAGTACCTCCTCTTGTCCCTGTGCTGTCCCGCGAGACTTCTTGTGAGAAGTTTTTGAGTTTTTTTTAAGCAAGAAGTGACATATTTTCAGCGCATAACGAAAGAACAGTCGCAAAATATCGATGTTTTAAGAAATATTGATTTCAGATTCCTATCTTCCTCCCAGAGGATCGAATTTCATTTTTCGTTGTGCTTGAGCAACTTTATGACATCTTTTATATTAGTCAGTATAAGCTGGTGTGTAACTATCCCCCTCCCCCTAAATACAGAAATCCTACGCCTATGTAGCGTGCGACGTCACATCCAAACGTTGGCGTGACGAAAGCGTCAAATGGTGGGGAACTGACGGAGCGAACGAGGGTCCCTCCCTTGCCCCTGTGCGGGACATCTTGCACTCTGGGCATAGTACGTCAAACGTTGATAAACTGTTTATCTACAGCAGGTAGCGCAACAATCGTTGTAATACAAAAATTAAAAAACCACTCTATAAAACGCATACACCGTGATTACAACTGTGATCTGCAAAAAACAAATATACATATATATATATACATATTTGTATTCTGTTTGATATCTTTGATTCGATCGTTGAAGATATTTAACAAAAAGTACTGTAATTATATAAAAAATGCCTGTTGATGTGTATGGATATGTTTATGCTGCTACAGTAGCAGCTGGTGGTATACTCGGTTATGTAAAAGCACGTAAGTTTCAATGTTTTCACCTGCATTTTGTTCTGAAATAAATAATTAGACTATTTTCTTTATTTATAGTTTTCTTAATTGGAAAATATTTGACAAACACAATATTTTTATAATAAAAACGAAATGTACTTAACTTTTTAAAGATTCGATTCCTTCTCTGAGTGCTGGGCTTCTCTTTGGATCTGTTTTGGGCTATGGAGCATACCAAACCTCGCAAGATCCCACTAACATTAAACTCTCTGTGGCAACAAGCTTAGTTCTTGGTGGAATAATGGCTTATCGTTATCAAGCCACTGGTAAATTGATGCCAGCTGGAATAATAGCTGTGTGCAGGTATTATTCTTAATGATTTAGTTATATAATAAGATTAAATGAAACTTCTGAATTTAATATTATTAAATTTTTCAGTGCTTTAATGGTGGTCAGAAATATTGTAAAATATTATGGAACATCTATGAAAGTACAATAAATAATTTAATGATGTTCCAGAATTTATTTTCTTTTTTAAAATGCTAAAATGTTTGAATTATATGTATATAAGATATATAAGGTATATGTATAATATTATTTGTATGGGTTATATGGATACATGCATTTTAAACATAAATATATTCTTCCAAAAGGGACAGCATATTACTATTTTAATTGTTATATAATTTTAATCTGAAACGATGTAATTATTGCTGTTATTATATTACACAAAAGAGAACTAAGATTGTACAGATAATGCATTTTTTATTTTAAATGTATTGACAATTTATTTAAATGTTATTTGGATTGTTTTATGATTTGTCCTTAAAATTACATTTATTTATTTCTATGTAGGTATTTGCGCTGGTTATTGAAATGATTAATAAAATATGAAACTCGTCTGTATCAATATTTTTTATCCTAATATCATAGAATAAATATTACCCGCTATTTTTAGTAACTTTTATCAGTTAATACATGTGCCATGATAATGTAGTTATTACTCACTTAAAAAAAAATTAAGTTGCAATCACTAACCACGATATTATGTTCGATTTATATTATAAATTATATAAATATTGGCATGGGCGTTAAATCACACTGCAATATTAGAAAAAGTACTGGCAGAGTTTATTAAGAGGATGTTAGGGGTAGCCAGAAGTACATCAAGGTGTATGATAAGACTAGAAATCGAAAAATTGCACTCAGAAATAGAAGTAATTAAGAGAGGAACCGAACGTGCAATAACTTAGAAAAAGACTGTAATAGGTACTAGCCTCAGTACAATAAAGCAATACATACATACATCATTTAGCTAAGATTTTTTAATTTTAATAAATTTTTATCGCGTTTTGCGATACTTTAGATAAATAAATAATATAAAATAATTTTTATTTGAAGTTGTATAAATGTTTATTATTACGATATTAATTAATATGATATTGGTTGTAGTACCCTTGTATGATAATCGGTTTCATAATTGCAATTTGTTTATCCTACAAAGTTTAAAAATTGATAGAGCATTTCATAATATAGATCACGAACTTGATCTTTACTCATATGTACAGAATATCTTTCGTTATAAAATGTTGATAATGATTTCACATAATCATTATGTTAATGAGAATAAATTTTAATTGAATAAAAATAAAAAAGTAGGTATACCAGTGGTGTATAAAATTTTGTTTAAAAAGTATTTGTAACAATTAAAAAGAAATTATTTTAACAAACTTTTACTTACTAACTATTGAAAGATTAATTTATTTATTAAATTGTATTATCTATCAAATTGAAACCTTTTTTTGAATCCGGAAACAGAATTACTTTAACGCCTTCAGTTTTGTAAAAACATGAACTTTTGTAAGAACACTTTAGTTTTTATTTAAATTATAAATAACCACTAAAATAAAAAAAAAAAGGATGCACGTACTATTTTCACATTTTTATATAAAATTCTTTATCTAGTATAAATGTACTACATAGTACTATTGAGATTCTATAGACATTTCCCGCCATGCGGCCATCGACTGTCTATCTCGATTTATCAGTGCCGTAGTTGCTCGTCATCACCGTCCAATTTCATGTATTTTTGAATACAAATCACATAATTACAAAGAATTTTGTAATCAATTTCAGTTTGCAAAAATTCTGCTAGTCATATTCTGATACGGAATCGTTTTTTCCATTTTGAAAATATTTTGATGGAAATGTTTTCCGTGTTTTTCGCTCACATCACTGATAATAAGAGGAAAAAAGGTTCAGAATGGAAACATTCCCACCTAGATTAGGCTTAGCACTGTTTCCACAAGCAATACTACAGGCAATTATCTCTATCTTTTAGTACTGAATAGAATTTCCTAGCATTAAAATTGTGCACTTTTATAAAAATTCATATTTTTCAAAAACGTTTTCAAGGTAGTTAATATAAAATATTAGTTAAAAAATTAACCACTTCTAGATTTATATTTGGGAAGAGAAATTTAAGAAGGATCACACAATGAATATCACAAATTAAAATTCGTGTTAGATAGTGTTGCTCGTTTTTAACTATCGAATAATTGTAATTCATTTTAAATTTTATTCGAGTGATCGATTGCACACGATAATCGAAGTCTCGAACTCGAAGTTCGAGTTACGAAGTCGATTATGGTTTGTACTGGATGCATTTGCGAACCTCTCTGGGAGCTCCTGCTCGGTGGTGTGTCCGTAGGAGGAAGTTCTTCAGGGGTTTGCCAGATTTGACGATATTTAAACGAAATAAATTACGATTAACGAGTTATTCGACCGGCGCTTCAATGTTCGCTCGTAACGCTTAAACAGTAGTTACGAACGAATGTTTTTTCTCGACATTTATTACGGAAAATTGGTCGCGAAAAAATTCGACAGCCACTGGTCTTCAAACGAACGAATCTTCAACTTTCATCGACTGATTTGACTGATTTTTGGGATCCAGTCACCGTAAACTTCCATCATTCCGTCAAAAACCGAGTGCCGACCCGCAGGGTGGCGATCATTTGATAAGGTATGTACCTACGCTAATGTATAATCCATGTTATCCCCAAAATGTGTATGGTGTAATCTTTGGTAAGGCACCTCTGTCACGTGAAAATTTAGTGATTGATGAATCACAGTGCACACTATAACGTATGCTAGCGAAACGTTAAATATTTTTTGACCGATGAATCACACAATTTTCTTCATTTTCCTTGTTAAGATATTTCCTCATCATGTGCAACTGCTTCGCCGATTTCCTATCGTAATCTTTCACCGGTATCTGCTGCGCTCTTCGATAATTTTATTCGTGTTCCGTATCCATATCATAAATGACGTTAATTCGATTTTAAATTATTCCTTCAGTACAGTACATAATGTTACCGCAATGATTTAGCTTATTTGCACACATTGTATCCATCTCGGTAACATCATGTTTGCAGAGCAGTTTATATTTCAATGCTAATATTATCTTCAAGTTGCTGCTACCTAACTTGGCCCGATATTTCCTGTATAAAGCAGTAAAATGATAATGATAAGGATTTTATTTAAATTTTAATATACCAATGAACAAATTTTTTGTCCACTTCTTGATAACGTGTACATTAGTGTGTCAATAATTTTTTTTTTTTTATTTTTCTACTAATGATAAATAATTTTTCGAATTTAATAATAAATTACTTTTTTATAGCTGTTTAATCTGGCAGCACAGGAAATTATTTAAGTTGTTATCAGATTCAATTATATGTTAATTAATTATGATATTTAATTAATCATAATGTAATGCTGCTCAATATGGGTTGTAAAATTTTTTATTTTTACATTATGTAACAAAAGGTATATTATAATGTTATATAAAATATAAGAGATATATTTATAAAAATAAAGTATATTATAAACCTACAAATGCAATTTCACTTATATATTTTTAAATGAAGAAAAATATCATTGATTTAACAGTAACATATGTAATGTTTCAATACACACCTGAATTTTAACCATGACTACGTTACACAGATGTTATCAGTTGTCTGTCAAATGATTTTGATGAATGATAGTAATCTACTACTTTCAACAGTGTAGCATAGATTAAACATCGTATTTTCATGCCCCCAATGAAGACTTGATCTCTGAGTGGCGTGTGCATTACCCCTCCATGTCCAATTGGATCTCTGTGAACTATGTATTTCTTGGCCGTCAGATAAGCTTTGTTCCATGAAGTAGACTTGGTACCACGCAAAGGCTGCCTGATAGTACTTATCTTTCTCGTATAAATACTGGCCCAAATAGTTACTTCAGGTTCAGTATCATTCTGTATTCTTGGTTGTCCATAACTGTTCTTCATTGAACATTATATCAATAAAAAAGCAGGCAACCATTTAGTAATTTTTTCTTTTATTTGTGTTATTGTTCATTTCAAGTTATTATAAAGATAGAGCAGTTTTAATAAAGTTAAAACACTTTCCAACTTTTTATTCAATTATTTTATTCCTATAACGTGTTATAAAAGCTACGAGAATTACTTTTAAAAGCCAGGTAAGTGTTGAAAATTTATTGCAGAAAAGTAAATTGTTAAATGTGATTTTTTAATTAATTTAATTGTACCAGCTGTTGCTCAAAATTTAATACTGAATTTATGCAAATATCTAATATAAGAGTTATATATATATAGAGAGAGAATAGTATATACATATATTCAATATCTTTGAAGTCTGCCAAAAAAAATATTTAAAAATGATAAGATGAATTTGAAGTGTAAAAAGGAACATGTGACATATGTTACGAAATGTATTGATCTGTTTAAAATGAATGAACTATACATATTTGAATAAGTGTATTTGACTACATGGCATAAATATGTAAATGTTTTTTAAGAAATGAATGAATTCATAATAGAATATTTAAGTGTTAATACTTTTAAGTTTTACATTACTTTGAAAAAATTTAAATATTACATTATAAATTACAACATTAAATATATGTATTTTTCTTTGTTATGTTGCAGGGTTCTATCTGCTATAGGCTGGTAGGCCAGTCTATTAGTGGGTGTGTGAATAACTGCGGCAACTGGAAGTTGACCCTGAACGCAGAGCCCCCGTGGCTTTGCTAGCACCCCCATAGTGATCTTGTCTTAACCCGCCTCCTCACGACTTACCCAATTCTCGTTGACAGCTGCCTCGTATGTCGTACTTTTAACAAGTCATTAAAGAATTAACTACCTTCTCTTATTATACATGTAATTTAATAAATGTTTTAATTTTAGTTTGCTGCCTAGCACCTACAGAGTATCTTTTAAAAACTAATAAAACAATCAACATGAAGGTAACAAATCTAGATGAACGTATCCATGTCTTGGACAATGAGTCAAACGTTATGACTGTCATCAAAGATATTGCATTGAGTGGATTACAAGAAGAAGCATTTTATGTACTCGATATCGGTGATATTGTTCGTAAACATCAAATTTGGAAAGAAAAAATGCCACGCGTTAGTCCATACTATGGTAAGATAATAAATATTACATGTTACATTTTATTGTGAATTAAACATTAATTTATTCGTTTCTGAAATTTTAGCCGTAAAATGTAACGATAACTTAGTGGTAATCGAGGTATTAGCTGCTCTTGGTATCGGTTTCGATTGCGCATCAAAAGTAAGTGTAATTTGATATTGTCATTTATATTGTATAATAGATACCTGATCTATGTAATCTAACATCATTACGTACTTTTATTTACAGTCAGAAATCAATAAAGTCTTAAGTGTTGGAGTAGACTCATCAAGAATCATTTTCGCCAATCCAGCTAAGCCAGCATCGCATATTCGTCATGCTGCTACTGTTGGTGTAGATGTAATGACAGTTGACAATGAAAGCGAATTGCATAAGATTAAGAAACTCCATCCTGATGCTAAGGTAATAAAAAATACTTTTATCAAGATACATATAAATTTGATAAATCTATATGTATATCACTTGTAATGTTTTAATTCCAGATTGTGATTAGAATCCGTTGCGATGCCGAAGTAGCTCAATGCCAATTGGGCATGAAATTTGGTTGTGACCCAATATACGAAGCACCTAATCTTCTGCGTCTTTCACGTGTATTAGGACTCAATGTTATTGGTATCAGCTTCCATGTTGGATCTGGTTGTCAGGATCCACCCGTATTTCATCGAGCTATACGTCATTCTAAATCATTATTTGACTTAGCCACGGATCTTGGTTTCAAACCATATTTGTTAGATATTGGCGGTGGCTATCCTGGAAACAAAGGAAGCAGCATTGATAAAATTGCTGACGTTGTTAACAAAGCGCTTGTCGAGTATTTCGACAGTAAGTAATATTTATTCACGAGTGATAACTTTCAATTATTGTTCTAGTTTGATATTCATTTGTTTATAATGATAATTTTTAGATGATGCCGTTCATGTTATCGCCGAACCCGGTCGCTTTTATGTTGCATCTGCATTTACACTCGCAACCAGTATTCATAGTAAACGTTCCGTACGTGGCGATGAAAATTCACCAAATGTAATCACTCATAACATGTATTATATCAATGATGGCGTTTATGGCTCCTTCAATTGTCTACTCTATGATCATCAACATGTAACTCCTATACCTCTAAAGGTAAGCAGTTCATAAAATATTCGTAGATTTTGAACTCAGTTTTAATAATAAATATTTTGGCATTAACAGAAGTTTTTCAGCAGATGATTGATTTCTAATAGTAAATATTTTGGTGTTAACAGAAAGGTTGTGGAAAAATGATTCCCTCAAGTATTTGGGGACCAACATGTGACGGTTTGGATCAAGTCGTGGAAAATGTTTTATTGCATGAAATGGATCTTGGTGATTGGATAATATTTGAAAATATGGGCGCGTACACGTTACCAGTCGCTTCTCCATTTAACGGATTTCCTGTACCCAAAGTGCATATCGTTGCTGATGAAAACATTTGGTAAGACTATGTAGAATGCTTCTTCCTCCGATTATACTTTATTTAACGATTCTTTGATACATTTTAATTGCGGTTATTAACATTTTGACGGTCGTTGTTACATCAAATTTGTAACCGTCAAAGTGTTAAATGCTTAAAATGAAGCAAGTTTTTCTATTCTAGCGTTACGTTTCGCAGGTTTTTGTTAAAAGGTGCTTTGCCCTTGACCGAAGATCACTTTGTCATTGGTAATACACCAGCTAATTTACGACTTGGTCTAGATATTGGAGGAACTGATACAAACGCATGGCACAATCCAACCATTGAATTGACATCGGCCGAAATTTTGGCTGGTTCTGCTAATTCTCGATCATCATTCATTTATGATTACGTTGAGGTTGATCCATTAAATTAATTTGGCTACATTACGGCGATGGTGAACGTAAAAAAAAGAAATGACATTACGGGCAAAAAACCACATTTTTCTTTTGGAACATACATATAAAGTCATGACAAAAATTCTAACTAAATTGTTTTACGATTGGCAACTTTTAATCGTATATTTTATAACATTAAACTCATTTAGCTTAAAAACGAAAAACATAATACTAAGGGTATTTTTGATTTTTCGTTTTTATTTTAAGCTTTAAGGTTTATTAGTATTTGGTACTATAAAGTCAAAACGAAAAAAAAAAGAAATGCTCATACTTTTTATTTTAATTAATTATTAAAGACGTGCAAATTACATTATTTTTTGGAATGATGCAGGTACATGTGCTTGTTTCTAAATGGTCAAGGGGTAATATTTATAAATTATGATATATAATCAGATTTTCAGATTACTGTTAAAAAAGTTAACTGCAGAGCTAAAGTAGACATTCTTCTGCATGAAATATTTACGTAGAAATATTTATATATACCTTTTTAGAACCGTAGTTTCTCAGATATTACATACGAACTTTCATAATATTTAGAAAAATGTTTATCGAATCTTGGGAGAATATCTACAGTTTGCACGTTTAATATAGAAAAAAACTGAAGTCATTTTTATATAAATCATATAAGTATGAGTTACTAAAACAGTTTTGTATGAAAGAAATTATTGCGGATTTTATGATTGTTGTAAACGACTTGATGTCCATGTTGTTGGTAAAAAAATGTCACATTTGGTTTTCTAATACTTCCTTTTTTAACACAAATACTGCTTACATGATTTATATGAAAGATATAAAAAAAGTAGTACTTTTGTGTAAAGGTTTGAATGTTGAATTATTTATATTGTAAATCATTGAAATATTCATTGTAATTTAACCTTATGATTAACGAAAAAAAATGAAAATGTGAGGCGAGGAAAATATAATCAGTAGCAGCGAAGGTGACGTATATGTCCAGCATATGTGTCGCGGTGAAAACACGAACATTTCTGCTTTCTTAATGTATTTTTTCCTTTTTTTCGTTATAAATATCAAAAACAAACTCTGTAGGACTGCTAGGATTTTTAAGGCATTGAGGCAGCTGTCACAGGAAAGAAAGATAATTAGTTTCTTATTAATTATTAATCTTATTGTATTATATATGTCAACTATTATTATTGTTAATTAATTATTATTGACGAATGAATACATGTAATGAAATATACAGAATCAAATTGAAATCGTTTTTAATTCTTATTTATCCTTTGTCTTTCTGTTCTTAGAGATTTAATAATAAAATATTGCTCAAGCCAGTAAATCTTACTGATTAACAATCCACTAGAATCATGTAATATAATTGACAGCTAAAGAGAGCTGTAGCTTTATGATGAGGTTTTAGATAAAAAAGAAGTAATTAATCAGAGTGTACTAAAATTAGAAATTTCAAGTGTGCTTTAAAAGATATTGCTACATACTATATCAGTAGATGATAATTTTCATTGATGACCTTGTATTAATTGTCACTGTTGTTAAAACGAAATATTTTATTGATTTACACAATCATATCATCACTCTTACCTAATTACATAATTTTATATTAAATACCTGTATTTGAATATACCTTTAACTGTGTATTTGTGTAATCTAAAGATACTGAGCATAGTTTAATTGAAACACCATTTGAATAAGATGTATCTACTGATATAATAGACTGGCTGATTACCCCGGCTTCGCCCCGAAGGACATATGTAATAATTAAAACACGCAAATAGGTGAATTTCCGCATCACCCTTGAGGTTCTATTATGAATGCGTTTTTTGTTTTTTTAGTTGTTTCCCCAGTATGCTTATTCCACCATAAAGAAAAATAG